GTTTTACCAAACATTCAAGGAAGAACTAAAACCTATCCTCCTCAGACTATTCCAAAAAATTCAAAAGGAGGAAGAAACACTTCCAAAATCCTTCTATGAATCCAGCATCAGCCTAATACAAATACAAGATAAAGACAACACAATGAAAGAGAATTATAGGCTAATATCCCTCATGAACATAGATGCCAAAATCCTCAACAAAATTCTAGCAAATAGGCTCCAGCAGCACATCAGAAAAATCATACACCATGACCAAGTAGGATTTATTCTAGGAACATAAGGATGGTACAATATCAGCGTATCAATAAACATGATACATCACATAAACAAATTGAGAGATAAAAATCATATAGTCATATTAATTGATGCAGAAAAAGCATTTGATAAAATCCAACACCTTTTCCTGATTAAAAAAAAAAAAAACTCTCAACAAGGTGGGAATAGAAGGATCATACCTCAATATATAATAATAAAAGCTATATATGATAAACCCACAGCAAACATCATACTCAATGGACAAAAACTAAAACCATTCCCTCTAAGAATAGGAACAAGACAGGGATGCCCACTCTCACCACTCCTATTTGACATAGTACTGGAAGTACTAGCCAAGTACTTCCAGTACTATGGAAGAAATAAAAGGCATCCAAATTGGAAAAGAAGAAATAAAAGGCATCCAAATTGGAAAAGAAGAAGTAAAGTTATCCTTATTTGCATATGACATGATATTGTACATAAAAAACCCAAAAGACTCCATCAAAAAACTAATAGACTTAATAAATGAATTTGGCAATGTAGCAGGATACAAAATTAACGCCAAGAAATCTATGGCATTTCTATACACCAATAGTGAACTTACAGAAACAGAAACTAAAAAAGCAATCCCATTTACCATCATACCAAAAAAATTTAGATAACTAAGAATAAACTTAACTAAGGAGGTAAAAGATCTATACGTGGAAAACTATATGACACTGGAAAAGGAGATAGAGGAAGATGTAAACACATGGAAGAACATACCATGTTCATGGATTGGTAGAATCAACATCATCAAAATGTCCATACTACCCAAAGCAATTTATAGTTTCAATGCACTCCCCATTAAAATACCAACGGCATACTTCACAGACCTAGAAAGAACATTCCAAAAATTCATCTGGAACAAAAAAAGACCCGGAAGAGCCACAGCAATCCTGAAAAAAGAAGTATAAAGTAGGAGGGATTTCAATACCAGATTTCAAGCTGTATTACAAAGTCACTGTTCTCAAAACAGCCTGGCACTGGCACAAGAACAGACATATAGATCAATGGAATAGAATAGAGAATCTGGATATCAACCCAAACTCTATATTCAATTAATATTTGAGAAAGGAGGTATGAACATACAATGGAGTCAAGACAGTCTCTTCAATAAATGGTGTTGGGAAAATTGGACAGATACATGCAAAAAAATGAAACTAGATCACCAACTTACACCATACACAAAAATAAACTCAAACTGGATACAGGACTTAAACATAAGACTGGAAACCATAAAAATACTAGAGGAATACACAGGCAGCAAAATCTGAGACATACGCTGTAAGAACTTCTTCACTGATACTGCCCCTAGGGCAGTGGAAGCTAAAGAGAAAATAAACAAATGAGACTACGTCAAAATAAAAAGCTTTTTTACAGCAAAAGAAACCTCAACAAAACAAGAAAACCCATTGTATGAGAGAACGTATCTGCAAATGTTACCACTGATAAAGGTTGAATCTCCAACATCTACAGACAGCTTATACAACTTAATAAAAGAAAGATAAATGATCTAATTAAAAAATGGGCAATGGACCTAAATAGAATATTTTCAAAAGAAGACAGAAGGAAGGCCAAGAGGCATATGAAAACACGCTCATAGTCACTAATTATCCAAGAGATGCAAGTCAAAACAACAATGTGGTACCATCTCACACCTGTCAGAATGGCCAACATCAGCAAATCAACAAATGATAAGTATTGGAGAGGATGCAGAGAAAAAGGAACCCTCGTGCACTGCTGGTGGTAATGCAGACTGGTGCAACCACTGTGGAGAACAGTATGGAGTTTCCTCAAAAAACTGAAAATGGAACTCCCATTTGACCCAGTAATCCCACTCCTAGGGCTATATCCTAAGAAACTAGAAACGCCAATCAGAAAGGATATATGCACCCCTATGTTCAAAGCAGCACAATTTACAATAGCTAGGATTTGGAAACAGCCTAGGTGCCCATCAGCAGATGATTGGATCAAAAAGCCATGGTACATCTACACAATGGAACACTATGCTGCCATAAAAAAGAAATAATTCTTATCATTTGCAGCAACCTGGATAGAATTAGAGAACATTATGCTGAGTGAAATAAGCCATTCAATGAAAGAAAATCACCACATGATCTCACTCATTTATGGATAATAAAGAACATTATAAACTGATGATCAAAACGATAGATACAGAGACAGTAAAGCAACAGACAGACTGTCAAATTACAGTGGGGAGGCTAGGGAGATATGGGGAAGATAAGAGATCAACTGTAGGACTTATATGCATGCAAATAAGCATAACCAATGGATGCAAAACTCTGGGGAGGGAGGACATGTATGGGAGTGGGGCGCGGGGAATTGGTAAGATATGAACACATATAATACCTTAATAAATAATGAAAAAAAAGAAACATCAATGATGACAAAGAATCATTGATTAGTTGCCTCCTGTACACCCCTATTGGGAATTGAGCCCACAACCAAAGCATGTGCCCTGACCATTGAGCACCACTGGCCAGGATGTATTTCCAGTTTTGACATCTCCTTTCATCCAGCTCCTCACCTCCTGAAAATTACCTCAAATTCAACAACTTAAAACTGAATTTATCTTCTTTTCTAGAAAGCAGCTGAACTTCATGACATCCCCATTTTTGTTATACTTTGTTTTCCGTTTACCCAGGTCCCCAAATCAGGGGTTTTAACCTGTCTCTCTTCAGTGTTCTCCTATATCAAGAAACCAAATCATACCTGTTATTTTACAATAGCAAATACTATTCATTCTTAACATTCTCAGTGACCACTCCTACCTCCAAATCCTTTACTTCATACCTGAGTTCAGCCTCAACTTCTTATATATTGTCCTTGGATTTAAACTATTCTTCCTCTAGACATTTGTTCACCATATGCAGAACAGTATTCCTAAAATAGTCACTCTTCTTACATTACTGCCCTTGCCAATTTTCTTTATTAAAGGATTCCTCCACAACATTAACTCAGCCTATATCTTACATTGTATCTTTAGGAACCTTCTTCTCTAGCCAAACTATTTCTCCTAACCTTCTTAGACTTGTCTTTATTCAAGATAGACCTCTTCTAGCTTGTTACACCACTCTTGTTCTCCACCAATTGAAATCCCTCCTCTCCATGGTGCTAAAATCAAATTCAACTTTCTCCATCACTTTTCACTGACTATTCAATTGGAAATGATTAGTTAGATTTATCCATAATAGTAGTTGCATTAATTAATGACTATAATATCATTACATTATACAAATTTGCCTTTCAAATAAATGGCAAGCACTCTGAGGGTCAAATAATTTCTTATATTCTATGTCTTCTTCTTTACCTGGAAATGTTACTGGTAAGAGCTCAATAAATATTTATTAATTTGTTCCTAAATGTTTCCTTACTGTATTTTATTTGATTATACAAAAGCTTATTATTTTTCATAAGTTAAAGTATAAAACATTAAGTTAGAGTATAACAATTTTAATGAGTGACTGTCAATTAGAGAATTTTACATGTCTCCTTTTCCCTATTTTACATTTCTATATCTAAAATATATAAAGACAAATCATGGACTGAATTTTTTTTTTAATAAGCAATTAACAAAAACTCAATGTCATTAGTTCCTTTCAAGATGGAAAATAAAAAACACACTTGAACCACCAAGACTCAGGCAACATCTCTGCCAACATCCAGTTATCCTATTAAAACCACTTTGGGGCTCAGATTAGGTCAAGATGAGAGGATAGAATTTTTTAATTTTTGACATTTCTTCTGTTCTACAATGTTGTTAAACATATAGAGCAAAGGCAAAGAATAGAAGATGGGTAGATAAGTCTTAGGAGAACTTAGGGATTCTTCTGTTTGTACTCTTATTTTACTACAAAAATACATATTGCTAATTTTTCACTTATAATGAAATCACAAACACAAGGCTCACTGAATGAATGGGTACAAGCAGACATGCTTAGTTGTAGCTAATATCAGCTTGCATGCAAAAGCAAAAAATGAAAAAAAATAAACTAAAATAATAATAAAAATAAAAAAGCAAAACAATGGAAATGCATGATAATTAGTGGGTATGCATGTGCAAATTTCATTTTGAGTGCTTTATGAATCATCCACAAATGCTTGGAAGTGAGCAGTAAGTGCCATTATGAAGTCACATGACAAGTTTTCTTTTCCTACCAGTTTTTCAATTCCCACTTGAATTGGTTTGGCTGGCTCTGTTAGGCCTGGTAATGATGTGAATACAATTCTGAGACTGCCGCTAGGGAGCACAAAACCTTACATATCCTATATAAGCAATGGTTTTTAGCTTTCTTTTTCATCTGACAATTGGATTTTATTGCTCTATTCTATTTCTTTTTAAGATTAGATTATCAGAATTTTATAACATTAACCTGCATTTATACTTAAAAGGACGACCAATTGAAAATATAAGAATTCGAACTGTATTAAAAAATATAAGAATTCAAACTGTATAGCATAAGCTCCTTTATAAGGGCAAAAACTATAATGTGTACAAATCTGTATTAAACTGTATAGTTTTGGTTTACACATGCCAAATAATTAGTATTCCTAAGCTCACAAATTGTGATCCTGAGATAGAACATTAATGTGATCCTGAAATTAAACCAAAGTAATTCTCAATGAAGTTTCTTCTTATACTTAATTTCTTACTCAAAATTTAAAAAATAGCTTTTGATTACCTTGAAACTGGAAATAGAAGTATTTTTGTTTGCATTTTTAAGAGTCTGATTGACCCATTTAATTATAATTTCATCATTGACTTTTTCACCTTCTCCAAGATCTGATAACACATTCAATGTGTACCTGTAATAGAAAAGATGTATATTTGAAATTGAAAGGGGTTAAATTTGCTCTCATATCACTTATATAAATATTAAAGAAATATTCAGTTCTAATAAGTATTTTTAATTTTAGTCTGGCTTTTGCACTTAGTTACAATCCAAAGTTACAAAGCTCAGTAATGAAAAACAAAAACTTCTAAATGGTATTTAAAAAACAAAACAACTCCATACAAGGCAGTTTTTAAGGGACATTAAGAATAGTGATTGTTTCTAGCGATTTATCCACTATTTAAAAAAAAGATTTACAAAGAATATAGTATCAATAATAAATCATTTTAAAATTAATATTTTAAGTATATTTATTCAGTTTGTTATTCTTCCAAATGAACTAAAACTTTAGTTCAAAGGATTTTTTGAAAGAAATTCAGTATTACTATAAACATTGCAATCTTTACCTTCTCATTAACTGCCATACCAATGCCAGTGTCAGTGTTGAATTCCCTTCATTTAGGTCCTGTCCAGCAATACCAACCAAGGAGAATTTGGCCTTATTCTTCCCAAGTTCCACTGCATAGTTACAATTTTCAATCTATAAGTAAATAAAAGTTTTGGTATAAAAACAAATTTTAAAGTCATCTGAAAGATAGCTATGATGATACCTTAAATTTATATTACAGAATTTCATCTCATAATAATGCAGTGAAATTAAGAAATTAATTATTCCAACTTTATAGTGGAAGATATCAAAAGCACTGAGGGGTTAACCTAGATAAACAACTATCTAGAAGATTTTAAGATCCTCTCTTACCTTAAAAGTCTTGACTGTCCAAGATTATACAGCTTATTAATAGCAGATCTTTGAATAAAAACCTGGCTTTCCTGCATTCTATTGATAAAGGTAAAAAATATAGTTCTGCCTAAAGTTAAAATTAAGGAAAAGAGAAGAAATTGTTTCATTAAGAGTCTAAGTCATCTCCAATATTTTTAATCTAGATCTTTCTCATTCTCTGAAATTCCCCTTTTAGCTCACTTATTTGAGCAAAAACTTAACCTTAACTGAACCAGCTAATGATAATCTATCCCATGTTTAACTCCCAATACTTCTTATTTTGTAATGTTTATGTATCATCATAAACTTATACTTAGCATTTGATGTACTTTCTTTGCTAACCATAGTATAAGCTCTTTTATAAGGGCAAAAACTATAATGTGTACAAATCTGTATCATACTCTTCCGTAACCCAGGCCAGGACCCAGAACAGTGCCCTGCCTATAGTAAGAATCTGATTAATGAACGCCAAGTAAATTATTTACACAAACATACACACACACATACACACACACATACACACACACACACATTATATACTCTACACTAATAAAAGAGAAATATGCAAATTGACCGTCTCTTCACAATGCCCATCAGCCAATCAAGAGTGGGTATGCAAATTAACCAAACAAAGATGGTGGCAGGCCTGCCCCCCAGCTGCTCCAGGCTTCTAGGCAGCACATATGCAGGCATGGAATAGCCAAGAGGGGCAGGACACCTGCTATGAGGGAGAAGACCAGGAACAGAGGGACCTACAGGAGTGGCTGCTCGAGTTGGAGTGAAGACTGAAGGCTCCAGGCAGAGTGAAGGCCAGGTGTTGGAGAAAAACTGGTGCCAGCAGCCAGGGGAAGGAAGGCCTGTTGCACAAATCTTCATGCAACAGGCCTCTAGTATATAATAAAGAGCTAATATGTTAATTAAACTGAACGGCAGAAAGACCATCTGGATGACCTTCTGGATAAAAAGCCAGGGCTGCAAGGGCCAAGCCCCTTGCTCAAATTTCATGCATCGGGCCTCTAGTATATATCTATCTATGTAATAGAAGAATATGCAAGTTATCCGGGATAACATAATGTCACGACCAAACAGCAGGGACCTCAGTCTGCACCCCCCACCCCATGGGGCTTGACAGGGTCCTTAGGCCTCACCCCTTACCTAAGGGAGACCTGAGACTGTGCACTTCACCTGGCACTAGGCTGGCGGACTTGAGGTTGTGACCCCGCCTGGCAGGCCTTGTCAGAGACCTCAGGCTGCGCCGAATCTAAGTCTCCTGCATTTTCGAAGTGTGTGTGGGTGGTGGATAGGGACTTGACTCTAGGTCCCATGGTATACCCCAGACTTGACAGAAGGAAGATTTTCATATACATTTTACTAATTTTCTTTCATCTCTGACACTTCTATTATAGAAAAAGGGCAAATAGCCGAGACCGGTTTGGCTCAATGGATAGAGCGTCGGCTTGGGGACTGAAGGGTCCCGGGTTCGATTCTGGTCAAGGGCATGTACCTTGGTTGCGGGCATATCCCCAGTAGAGGGTGTGCAAGAGGCAGCTGATTGATGACTCTCTCTCATCAATGTTTCTAACTCTCTATCTCTCTCCCTTCCTCTCTGTACAAAGTCAATAAAATATATTTAAAAAAAAAAAAAAAAGAAAGAAAGAAAAAGGACAAATAGCAATATTAAAATATTCCCTCTAATTAATTTCCTTTTAATGTACACAAATTTTGTGCACCAGGCCACTAGTATGTGTATATGTGTGTGTGTGTGTGTTTGTATGTGTGTATGCATATATATTATTTATTATATATTATATATTACATGTAATATATAATATATATAGTAATATATATAGTAATATATAAAATAATTTATAGATATACAAATTCTTATGAAATTGAGCCTTTGTTCTCAACCCAAATTGTAAGCTCTTATAGTTTAATAGAGGCCCAGTGCACAAAACTCATGCATGGAGTAGTCCCCTGCATTCTCTCCAATCTAGGACATCCCTCTCACAATCCAGGACCACTGGCTCCAAATTGTTCACCTGTCTGCCTGCCTGATCACCTCTAATTGCCTCCTGACGGCCTGGTCACCCCTAACTGCCCCCTGCCAGCCTGTTTGCCCTTCACTGCCCCACCACCACCAGCCTGGTCGCCCACACAGCCCCTGCTCAATCGTTTGATCAGTCCCACTAACCCCCCCTGCTGGCCTGGTTGCCCCATGCATCCTGCTGCTCAGTCGTTTGGTTGACCCTTAACCCCTCTGGTGGTCTGGTCACCCCATGTAGCCTGTTTTATTGTCTCAGTTGTGATGGTCACTTAGGCTTTTATATAGTGTATAGTCCTGAGGCCTGGTACACAAAAATTTGTGCACTCATGGGGGTCCCTTAGCCCAGCCTGCATCCTCTCACAATTTGGGACACCTCAGGTAGGGTCCCTAGGCCTGGCCTGAGATCAGGGCCTATCAGGACTTTCTTTCCCCAGGTTGAAGGCAGCTGGCCCCTCCCCCACAACTACCACTGCTTGCCATCTGTTAAGTGCTGCCCTCCTCCTCTGCCACTGGTGGCCTCCCTCTGCAGGTGACAGGCTGGGGTGCAATGGCTTGACTGGCTTGGGCCTCCCTCTTTCTTTGCTGGAAGGCAGGGCCAGCCTTGTGAGGGGTCATCTGCCTACCTCATCACCCCTAACCACTTGCCTACTTACCTGATCATCCCTAACTGCTGTCTGGCTACCTGATCACCCCTACACTATACCTGCCTGCTTGATTGCCCCTAACCATTTGCATGGGGGTGGGGACAGCCCAGCGAGAGGCCATCTGCCTACCTGCTTATCCCTAACTGCTGGCCTGCCTACCTGATCTCCCCTAACCACCTGCCTGCCTATCTGATCTCCCCTAAACCCTATGCCTGCCTGCCTGATTGCCCCTTAACACTTGCTTAGGGTAAGGCCAGCACTAACTTCCAGTTGGTGAGCCTCCAATAGTTACTGGTCATTACCACCCAAGGTTTTTATATAGTAGGATAATGTATCACCAGTACTAAAAAAAGTACGTACTAAATATTTTTTAGAATAAACATTAGTTAAGAAATATAGTATAACTGAATTCTCCTGATTTTCTTTCCAAAATTAGTTGAAACCTCATTGGAAAACATTTTAACCTAAGACACACAAATGTTTTTTCTATGAATAAGAAAACATTTCCAGAAAAGATGAGAAAGGGACCACACAATAATAGAATTTGCACAAATAAATGGGTATTGTTCCTTAAAAAAGAGAATTCATATTCCCAAAAGTCAGTGTGTATAAATAAAAGTGCAAGAAGTTCTTTTGAACCTGCTGTAATATCCATTTGGTTTCCTTAATAAATTAAATAAAATCTCTGATATGTATTCATTTTCTGGAAATAAATAATGTGGGATCCCTTAACACAACCTGCGTGGTTCAGGGATCCCACATCTGGAGCCTTCAACGCGGGACTTCTGGAGAAGAAGGTATTTTTCGCCTAGAGCGAAGGAGGAAAAATACACCGAGAAAAGGTGTGGAAAATTCACCGAGAAAAGGTGAGGGAAATTCACCGAGAAAAGGTGAGGGAAATTCACCGAGAAAAGGTGAGAGAAATTCACCGAGAAAAGGTGAGGGAAATTCACAGAGAAAAGGTGAGGGAAATTCACCGCACTCAAAGCCCACGGCCAGCTGCAGAGTCGCGAACTGTAAGTAGGGTGGGAACATCCTTTTAACCAGGATAATGGAGAAGAATTAGGTTATAAAAATAAAGTAAATTTTATTATAGAATTTTGGTTTGTATGATTAAAGAATGTGGTTTATTGAGCAAATTAAAATCTTAGTTTGTATTTGGAATTTAAAATCTGTAATAAGAAACGAAACTCCACCGTTGGAACTGCCACTGTTGCAGAGAAATTCAAAGGTAGCAGGAGAGGGCAGAGCTATCTGCCCTCCTGAAATAAGATTACTCAATGCTTTGTTTAAAAGTTATAAAAGAACTTGCAAACTAGGAAAGCAAAAGAGAAAGAAAAAAATTTTGAGATCTGTCTTTATCTATTAAGCATGAAAAAATGTGTGGCCAGATCTGTTGTTTAAACTTCTCCCAAAGTAAGCAGGATGTGGGGGAAGGAAAGAGACACCAGGCAATCCTATAAGAAAGACCACTCTCCCAGTAAGCTAAGGAATGTGATAACTTGCATTTGAATGGCTACAAACTTCCTCCAAACTCCTGTGGCAAAACATTTTTGTAGAAGTTTGCTTAATTATAAAAATAAAAAAATAAAGTTTAAATTTACCTCAAAAAATCTAGAGGACAGAATTGAAGTTCTTAATTGATAATGTCTTGTATTTTTCTTAGAAATGTAAAGTGTCATTAATCTAGGACATGCAATATATATTTGATTTGCCAGCTTTAAAAGTTCAAAGTGCAAATTAAATTGGGAGAAATTATAGAGTTGTGGTAATTAAAATACCTAAAGTATAACTTGCTTTTGAGAAGAAAAAAAGTGTGTTTTCTCTAATAATTAGGAATTCAAAATAAGTTGCTTATTATTGGTCTAATTAAAAAAGAGGATTAATTCTGTGATCTCAACCAAAAATTTTCTATGCAAAAACTAGTCTAAATTTAATTGATATCTTAAGGTAATAATAAAAGGTATTATAATATTTAAATCATATATGGATATAGATATTTGTTTGATGGTTTTTTCTGTGTTAAAATTTCAAGGCCTTAACAGAGATGATTCTTGGAAAGCTCCAAG